CACTTCAAGCTCGCGTTTTAATTAAATTTTGAATTCTTATAAATTGAAAATATTTTGTTATTTGTTTGTATAAGAAAATTCTAAGTTAAATAATATAATTTTATAATATAATATAATATACAATATAATATACAATTTAATATAATACAATATAATATACAATATAATATACAATTTAATATAATACAATATAATATACAATAATAATATATATAATAAATTGAAAAAAAATGCCAGATAGTATATAAATAATTGTATTTAAAAAGATTTTTACTTTTAGGCTTCCATCAAGAAATATTTAAGACAACATTATTATTATTATTATTATTATTATTATTACACAGTTATATTTTACACATATAAGTTATATACTATATAGTATATAATATATAGTTATACATATAAGGTGGATGTAGCACGGATGTAGCACCACAAATTGTATGTATCTGCGGTGCAGAAAAGTGAATGTTGCAATGTAGTTCATACCACTTCTGCAGGTGGCGTTAGTGCACAACGGCTTTTCTAGGTTACAGGCAAAAGGTCGTCATGTCCGTCATGTCCTCTCTCAAGTGTCTCTCTATGTCTACTGCAGATAGGCTGTGGCATTTCTGTCTTGACCATAAACTATAGAGATGCTCTAAAGAAAGATCACGTAACTTTAGTTACAGTTCACATGACGCTACATAACTGCCTTTGAAGCGTTACATGAAAAATCTCTTCCATGAAACGGCAGTGACGGCACCCTAAGTGAGGTTCGAATCTTCGCTAAGTGGGGTTCGAGTCTCCGCTAAGTAGATTGCACTTATATAGCGCGCGCGCATTCGAATATTTAGCGGAGACTCAAACCCCACTTAGCGAAGATTCGAACCTCACTTAGCGGAGACTCGAATTATATTTATAATATTTATATATATGTATATATAATTTGATTACATTTAGTGGAGACTCAAACCAACTCAAACCTCACTTAGCGAAGATTCGAACCGGATATTTTTAGGGTGCCGTACCATGGCAGAGATTTTTCATTAATCGTTCAAGTTGATCAGATTATTAAATTATCATAATTGATTATTCTCGTATTCAACTACGATTGGTCAATTTCTTGGCTGATTGTAAAATAAGCTTAAGGTTTATTACGTCTATCGTAGAATCGGCCTAATTACGGAAATTTTCGATATTTTTCAATACTTCACGGTACTCTTAGGTTAGAAAACTCATCCGTGTGTTTCAATAGTGTTTCTGTGAGAACTGAAAATCCGAAATCCGCGAACTACTCTCGTGGATAGTCGGTGGTCAGAGGAAACTTCTTCCGAGTGGAGAGTTCGAACACACCCGAAGATCCACAGCAGCCCAGGTGATCGGCAAAAAGAGGGAAAGAGAGGAGGGAACGAGTGAGAAGGAATGAGCATATTTTCTTTGTCGTTGACAACCTGATGAGACGAGCTTCCTCGTCCACGTGGGCGACGTGGTAGCGGAAACTGCGCGACAAGAGCCGAGAAGGGATTTCTTCCAGGGTGGATCGATCCGGGCGAGAGTTCCAACGACGGCATCCGACGTCCTGACAAGCGTCGCGGTTTGCACTGTGATTTTAGGTTATGCTCGTACCCGACATGGCACTTTCTCACGCTACCTTATGCTGAAACCGAAGGTGAGTCTGATCGAGCGACTCCAATTGCCGAGGACTGCCAACTAATCCCTTAATCCCAATTTTTTTTCAGGAGAGCGAAAGTGGTGATAATTATGATAATGCCGTGAATAACATATGGACGCTTTTCCGGACGAGTGACGCGTGTACGATAATCTTTTGGAAACAAGATGGTTTGTCAATAATCTCCTTACGTTCGGGGCTTTGTAACAAGACGGTACGTTTCTCAAATTGTTTCAAATTTTTAAATTTTACTCCACATCGCATTGGGTACTGACGACGAGATAAATTTTCTTTTATTAAAAAAAACATGATTTTAATGCTTCAAGAAAGTGTCTGAAGCAACAAAGATCAATCTTACTTTGTAGAAATTAAACGAGATGCTACAAAAAAGTTGTGAAAATTCTTGAAAAGTTTTTATTAAAATTTTATTAAAGTGATTGTAAATCTGTAATAATTCTTTAACTAATAATGGAAAAAGTGTGTGATATATCTTAAAAATTTTATACAAAGAAGAGAGAGAAAGAGAGAGAGGAGGAAAATATTTGTTTTTTACTTTTGATTCATTAAATTGTCATTAAAAACCAGTAATGTAGAAATCAGAATTTTTATTTTCTATGATATTGACAATATAATATAAAATAAAATGAGAGAAATTATAAATTTTTTTTTATTGTTTTATGTCCTTGCTTCTCTCTCTTTTTCTTCATAATAAATTTAGTATTGCCAATTATATATTCTAATTTTTTTCAGAAATATATTCTTTGGGAACATGACACGCTCGCATGTAAAGTACCAAATTGCTAGAGATGATGTCGATACGTCCGAGTACTTACCACAAAGTATTCCAGATTTCCAAAATGTAACGAAACCAGAACCTACACTTTGGAGAAAAGCATTCCACGTATTTTTATTGATCTCGGCTTACTTTGTTTTATCAATAGGCCTTACATTTTATAATCCCTGGCTTTACAATACATATGTGAGTATGTGATAACTAAAAATGATAACTCTTACTTTAATTATAAATGACAAAAATAATAAAATTGTAAGATTTTAATCTCTGTGAAGTTGATCTCACTTTTAAAATTCGAGAAAAGTAATCAGATTTTATTATGTTTTCTTTATAATACTGTATTTAATATTTAATTATTTATTAATGCAACTTGTATAATATTTTTAGGGATTTAATTTTCCACTTGGAGTGGTGGTTTGCCATTTGGTTATAAAATTTGCGCTATCCGCGTTAATAAGGTGCATCAGAAGATGTTACTATGGTAAACGAATAAATCTTCCATGGCAGAATATAATTTATTCATTAATGGTGCCTGGCATAGCCAGTGGTGTCGATATTGGTTTATCGAATTGGGCACTTTCATTGATTTCGATATCTTTGTAAGTATAATCTTATGACAATAAAATTAAAATGTAAAGAATTTATTGCAAAAAGTACATGACATTTCTTTCTAGAGTCACCATGACTAAGTCAACCACTATTATATTTATTCTTGGATTTTCTCTTTTGTTTAAACTAGAGAAAAAGGTAAGACCCCAAATTTTCAATGAAGGACTGTAATATTTATTAAATATTTATTAAGCGTATATCTTAACAGGTAAATAATAATTACTCTTTATTGTAGTCATGGTCTCTAGTGGGGATAGTAGTAATGATAGCGGGAGGATTAGCGATGTTCACTTTTAAATCTACCCAATTTGGCATTCTTGGATTTATACTGTGTCTCCTGGCATCATTTGCCAGCGGTATTCGATGGACTATGACACAACTCATTATGCAAAAATCCAAAATCGGCCTCCACGATCCAGTAGACATGATGTATTATATGCAGCCTTGGATGCTGTTACCCGCAATATCAGTGGCTTTATGGTTTGAAGGTAAATTCCATATTTTCATGTATATAACAGAATTCTTTTGAAATTCCATAATTAAATTTCATGAGTAAGCTCGACGAAAAATATATATTCATAATATTACGTGTCTTATCATAATTCTCAGTATTAAGGATATATTTAATTTTAGGCGGCAGAATATATGATGGTATTAGAATAACCGATTGGGGTAATATCGGTAGTATTTTATTGACTACAAGTGCTGTAGTAGCAGGTGCCATTTTAGCATTTAGTATGGAAGTGATGGAATTCTTAGTTGTTACTTATACTTCTAGTCTGACATTGTCGATCTCGGGAGTATTTAAGGTAAAACTATTATTGCTTTCTTCATGTTGCAATATATATATTACGATTTGTGGTTTCTATCTCAATTTAAAAAAAAATACAATAGATAATTACACATTTCTATAAAATTTTATTGACACATCTCAAAAGAAATTTCATAGATAATACTAATGTACGTTCTTGTTCAGCCAATTTTCAATTTCTGTATTTTATCTGTTAATGTTTCTTTTTTCAGGAAATATGTACATTAGCGCTGGCGTTTGTGTTGAAAGGTGATCAAATGACTGGCCTTAACTTTATAGGATTGTTAATGTGCCTTGGGGGTATAATACTTCATGTTGTCCAGAAGGTATTACTTAGCAGAAAGAAAGTGGTTGATAATATGGAATTACAATCGAAAGTGGCAAGCAATAGTGCTAAACGCGAAGAGACAACTGATTCGAATGTGCCATTATTGACGGAAAAATCGACGTCTCTAATGAATCTTCTCAATGCCGAATTCAGTTCGGATGAGGACGGTGATTTGAGAGAGCATGAAAATTCGACTCAAATACTTTCAGACATTTTGCAACGCAGAGAACAGTGACATTTCTTGAACTTTTAGACGTGATAGACGAGGAATTATTTTTTACTGAGAAAAAAACATTCCAATGTATGGCTTACAGCATTTTATATTTTTCCAGTGTAAATCTTACAGCCAATAATGAAGTTGCGGTTATCATAAATTTTACATCACAAATTTATGCTTCATAAAATTTAATATATCAGAAATAACATGCCACAGAGTTCTTTTTTAACAAGTAACGTTAAAAAGTGATGGTTTTAGATATCTCTTAGATATCTTTGAAGATTCGTCTAGATATTAATCTGGGATGTTAAACGCATCACAAAAGATTTAAATAGTAATGTAATATACGTGTTTGCTGTGAAACGTAAATTAATTAAATGTAAGATTTCCTGATACATTTCTATATATTATCATCACGTAAGAATAAGATACAAACACATCTTCAAAAATTGCGAAGTACAAAAATGAAAGTGTAAAATGGACTTCGTCGCGTATGTGTTAATATTGATAGAAAAGCATCACCTACATATGAAGACTTATAAATTATTGTTATTGTTTTAATTTATTATAAACAAAAGCTTTACTATGCAATATATTTGTTTAAATTATATATATGTATACATATATATAATTTTTTCTTAGAATATGCGTCCAGAATAATAATAATTCAATGTTTGTGTATATAACAATCTTCTAAGAATGAACGCACAATATATATATATAATAAATTTAAACGCACTAATTAAGACACATTGTCAATATAACGTGTAAACATGAGTTATTTAAACAAATGCGTTTTTTTTTTAATTCTATGTATATTTATAAATGCATGAACTGATAATAGTTCACGTGTGTTATATATGTTCAACATGTTAATAGTAAAGCATCTATTATACCAAAAGTCAATTTTATTTTCGTATCCCCTCTCGTATTGAGGATGCATTTTGTAATTTGATTAAAGCTTAATAAATATTTTACATATAAATATTATCTCTTAGCGAATCTATTCGTGTTCTGTCCAGTAAATAAATATTAAATAATACAAATAATAATAATACTGTATTTTATAAATAAATATTAAATAATACAAATGCTTATTATTTTCACAAAATGTAAACGGTAAATAATCTTTTTTTCTCTCTATCTAAGAACTACATAATTTTTATGACAAATTTTAAGGAGTTTTTTCGAAGAATATAAAATCACGTATAAAATAGAATGCGTACAAACGTGCTTCCTATGTCAATATAATAATATTGTATTTGTTAATACCAAATCGAACACATCTGTCAATAGATTATTATGTACCGGAATATATATCCTAATATTCCTATTGTCCAAGTTTTCAAACCTATGTCTTTAATAAATTATAATACATAATTACATAAGAATCATGTTATTCAAACAATTACTATTCTGCAAATTCTAATTTAAAGAATAGATAAGACAAATTAATAGACAAAATCACTTCATAATAAATTCAAAGAATTAAATTTATAACGGATATAATGATTCCTTGCTTCTTTGGGAATTCGCTCAAATATTTAGTATATATATCCCCTTTATGTCAATACTATTCTTAAAACTAAAATTACAACAAATGCATTAATGTTCCTACCAACAATAGAATATACGAATATTTTTATTGTTTAACTCTCTAAAGACAAGTATCGCGAAATCACCTAATTTGACATATTTTATACATCACAACCGTTTTGAAAGAGTTCAGAACCAAATCATACGTAAAACTTACTTGCTATAATCCATAATCATCTTCATCCTATTTTATGCGTTAAATAATTTATAAATCAGTTCCTATTGTAATAAGCGAGACACAATGCGATCGGATTTCCTAGTTACGCAATGCTTATTCTAATATTGATTAATAAATAACAATCACTTTTATCTTTTTATAAATAAAATAACAGATTTATTTATAATTTTGTTTTTATTTGATTAGTTTTCTTAGATTTGGTTTTTTTAGATTCTTCGATTCTGTATTCCAGTTTGTGAATCAATTCATCTAATTCGTCCTGATAAACAAAAGGATATAATTACTTTTAGATAGTTCGTTTATACTTTGCATATTCTAATACACATATGACGTATCAATTAATTGGTAACAATACAAAGCTGTTATACTTACTTCGTCGTACGTGTACATGAGAGTACAATGTTTCAGGACCTGCTTCTTAGAATTGATTAAATGCAAGGCATGTGGCAAACAGTAAACGCTGTCGTCTTGCGAATTGTTCACCAAGGACACGAACAAATTGTATCTGCACGTCTCACATTCAAAGTCGCCATCATCCTCCGTCACCTTTTTCCCTTTCTTCCCTTTTCCACTGTCCGGTAGAGGCAATCTTTCTCTATTGGTAAGGCCCACACTTTCGAGCTGTTTACGATAATCCAATTCCTTCTCGCGGATCTTTATTACACTCGGCAATATCTAAAACCGCAGTACTCTAATGTAGCGTCAAGTGTAGCTCAAAAGTTTATGTAACATAGATTTTCAATCTTTAACCATTTATAACAATTAGAAATAATTTACGTAAATTTATTCTTACCTGTCTCAATATGTCTACGTGAGATCTCGTGTCATTAATAATATTAAATAACAATCTCTCGAATGAAAAGATAGAAGGTTCGCAACTGTCTTGTATATCCTGAAAAACATACACAAACTCGTTTGAATATCATCAAATAGTAATAAAATCGTGATTAAAAATTAAGTGGCCAAAAATCTCATATGAAAGGTTTTACGTTTCATGCGCGTACCTTAAATACTTGTTCCGCGGTTTCCAGCCAGGATGGTTGTGCGAAATATACGCTCTCGGATACGACGTAACCGGTACATATGCTCGACGTGAACGCTTTTGGAAATACTATTATAAACTGTCTCGGCTCTTGCACGATCTGGCATAACGGTACGCCGTTGCTCACTAACAGTTCCGGCGGAACCATGGCAGTGTCGGAAGGTAACCATATAGTCTTATTTTTGCAATACCGTGGTACCATTTTAGAGAGCGCTTCGCGGAAATTGTTATTATGCTCGTCAGGTATCCCATACCAAATCTTTTTGGCACCTGTATGTAGATACTCTATCCATGGTAGACCGTGCGGATCGCGATACCAGCAACAAGCGCTAAATAACATACCCACATGCAACGTCGGTACGGTCACACCTAGAAGGACAAAAGTTACATTGCTTATATAAGAATGTTATACATCTTTATTGAAAGATATTTTTATTGAAAAAAAAAGCGTAATCCAAAATGAGGAGATTTTTGAATTATCGTTTTTTTTCCTGAATCTATACGTCTTTGATTTGAAAATTTGATTCAAATAAACTTGAAATTTTAAATAAAAAATTCAAAAATTTTTGCGAATTAAACTTCAAAAGTACACAAAAATGCTCTCTACGGATTAATTGTCCTGATTATAATTAAAAAAAATTGCATACCCATTAGCGGACCCAAAGCTCTCAATACTGATCCAGCATTGTTAGTGAGAACTTTAAGATTCCAAGGATGTCTAGCGAACGGGCTGTTTTTCGCAACGGAAAATCCAAATCCACGACCGCTCGAATCAATGCTTGCCGCATGTACGCAGACGTGACGTTTTCTCTCGGCAACATGTTTCCAGAATGCACTCTCCACCTCATCCGCCAATGCACCCTCGGTTTCATTTCCTCGTTGATCGCCGAACCACATGCGTTGCGTATTACGAGCAATTCGGTAAAAAGCATTCAGTGGCATGTTTCTTCCCTTTGATATTACAAATATATATATACGTGTATCAGTGTATATTATACATACACATATAGACGTATGTATGCGTGTATTTTTATGTGTATATGAAAAATATTAATTGAGAAATTTTCAATGATAAGTTCTAAACATTAACTAATAAAAATTGCTGCTATATAAAATGTATTAGAAATGTATTCTTTATCTTTGACGAAACTTTCTACTAGTAAATATCGAAAATTTGGTTCAAATAGACTTTGAAATTTTTAATCAAAAATTCAAAAATTTTTGCAAATTAAACTTCGAAAATACACAAAAATGCTCTCTACATACATCTTATAATAAAAATAAAAATAATAGATTAATACTTATATTCTTACTTTCACAATGCATTCTTCAATTTCATCAGAACTATCCTCATCTTCTTCGTCATCATTATCATTGGGTGACGCTTCTTCTCTTTGCAAGGCGTTGCTTTCTTTTCTCATCCATTCAGCTTCAACCTCGTCAAACAGTTTCCCACGTTCCTCTAAAAACAAATTATTTATGATTTACAAGATAAATTTTTCAACATTTTTGTAAAATTTATTTCTTATATAAAATATACCTGGGGACAATGTGTCGTATGGCAGTAAATATTTACAATAAATATCATCTAGTTTAGTAACGCGATCCTGTGCCGATCTCGGTATCTTCATGCCATCCGCTACTTTTTGCCACTTCTTCTTTTCAATAACTTCTTTCAATCCACCCAAGCTTTGAACCGTTTGATATAAATGAGGTAAATCTACCTCCATCCCGCCAATCTGAAAGAGTTAATTATTGACAAATAATGAACTTAAAATTTTCTCAAGCTTTATATAATATCTATTTAAACAATAAATATGAATAGTTTTTTTACCCATGGAGGTTGAGTCAAAGTAATGCTCTGAGTAGCTAAATATTTCTTGATAGCCATCATTTCTTTTACATTAGGTCCCCACCTGTGGAGCATGCGATGTACGTATTGATTGTAAGCGGTAAATCTCATGTCATCGGACACCTTGCATTCTGGCTGAAAAATTTAAAAAAAAAAAAAGATTATATAATACATGTAATTAAAATGACATACAGATATTATTAATTGGTAAATATAATTATTATGTGCAACACCTATATCTAACGCAACTGCTTCTCTATGCAATATTTACCTTGAAATTTGGTGGAGGCACCACTCTGCATATTCCAAATTTTTCCGCGACTGGCCTTATTTTATCTATATACTCCAACGGATCCTGGAAATCTTTCTCCGACGGATAAAACGTTGGCGCCTCGACTACGCGAGCTTCTTTCGCGCCTAAAGACGTCGTGCTTGAAGAGCTTAGCTCCGATCCCTTTTGTTTGCACTTCATTTGCGCCCTGAAAAAGATTTTTATTCAGAGGTGAATAACAGATACAAAAAATTGTGCGCCTGTATATTATTTCGAAGATATAACATTACCTCTTCCCGCATTTTGTCGAGTCTACAGAGGCTTTTCTTTCCCTCGATGACTTCGGTGACTTTGTGAGTTTCTCCAAACTGCTAATTGCGCTCGTTGAACTGGCATTTTGACGAGTCGGACTTGGCGCCGAGACTTCGTGATTTTTCACCAGCGACGTCGGCTGCGTCTCCGCGCTCGATTTACTCGCTACCGTGGTCGACACAGTCGCGGTCGTCGACGTCGACGGCACCTGCTGTTCCACCGTGAGGTTCGCCGTAGGATTGGGCGGGGTACGCGTCGTCGGTTGTACCGTGCCTATCGGCGGACACCGTGCCACGGACAGCGGTGGCTTGGTTAAAGGGACCAACTTGGCGTGAAGGAACAATCGTTGATTGGGACCCTCCGTGTCGAGTTTAAACGCCACGCCCTGCACCAGATTCGAGCCGCTCCTCGTGACGGATTGCAGCGGAATGTAAAACAGCTGCCCGTCGTTGTTGTCGTCGTCGTTCTCGTTGCTCGCCTCGGTCTGCGTGGATATCTCGGTGCTCCTCTGCTCGCTCGCGCTGTTGCTCTCCCGCTCCTGCGCGGTCGCGGTCTCGTCGAGATTCACCTGCACCGCTATGGAGGCGCTGCAATTTACGTTGCTCCAGCTCGTCGTGAGCTTGTCGAGCGGCAGCACCTGGACACTGGTCAGGTTCGCGAAGTTCTTGGGCAGCTCGAACTTGCTCACGCCCGGAGCTGCGTTCGCCACGTTCACCGGTCCTTGCGTCGTCTCTTGCTGCTCCTTCACAGGCGTCGCGGGATCGTCCGACGATTTTTCCTTGCTATCCAACGGCTCGGACTCCTTCGAACTCGATTTATTAGCCTCAGCTTTGGTTTCGGTTGCAGCCGCTGTAGACGTTGCGGTCGAACGTTTCGCGTTATCCGACCTGACCGTCTTCCTCCGGAAAGGCGTGCTAACCGGAGCCTCGGCCTCGCTCTCAAACGCGTAAACGCTGCTCTCGTTCTCCGGCGAAAACGCGTTCGCGTTGGGCACCACGCTCTTACGCTCCTTGACCTTGGGCAAAAACGGCTTCCGCGGCTGAAATATCTTCTTCTCCGACGGCGACTTCTTCTCCGAACCGTCCACCGAGTTCTGATCCGATTTGGACACGGTGTCGCTGGTGTCCTCGGTAAGCGAGGTATCCCTGTTCGTCCTCTCAGTTTTAATCTTGACAGTCTCCCTCGCCTCGGTAGCGATCTTACTCTTGTCGACGCTCGCACTCTGCCGCTTCACTTCGGTATTGTGCGCTTCGGGCGTGACCGGTATCACGTTTCTGCTGGGTAGCCCCCGGAGCTTCAGATTCATCTTGTCCGATAATTTCGAAAGCGTGACGTTGACCGGACGCACCAAATGTTGGATCTTCGTCGAAATGGACAGATGCGAGACGTCCGTCTTCAGCTTCTCCGTCGAATCGTATCTGAAGCTGGAGACGTTCTCCATCTCCAGCTTGCTCTCCTCCTTGGCGAACGAGCTTTCGTTCAACCACTTCTCTATCTGCTCGGTCGACATGTTCACGCGTTCCTTCCTCGTGTGCAGAGTAGACAGCGGCATGAGATTCGACACCTCGTTATTCTCGTGATTGCACGTCTTCTTGCTCATCGTCTGTTCCACCGAGCTTTGCGTCTTGACGAGCAAATCCAACGCCGGTTTCTTATCCTGCACAGACACGCTGCATTCGTCGTTCAGCGAATTCGCAACCGGCGAATCGGCTTTCACCGGGGACGTTTCCACTTTGATTTCCCGTAGAGTGGCGTCGCTCTGATCCGCCGTTTTCGATGAGTCTTCCGGGGTCTTCGGCAAATTCAACTTTCCACTTTCGGGCTCGGTGACTAGCAAATTAACATTGGCATGCGTCTGACACGAATTCAAAACTTTCGATATCGCCTTCTTGGTGAACCCGCGAAATTCTTCGTCGTCCGACCCGATCTTCGACAGATCCGCCTTCGCGTTTTGCGCGCTGCCGCGAGTTACCATTCCGTCTTTCGTATTACTGGCATTGACAGGGATCTGCCCCTCCACCTCCTCCTCCTGCCCGTCGTCTTTCTTCTTCTTTATCTTACTGAGCAGCATTCCCAACGTCTCTTCCTCCGACTCCGCCTTCTCGTTTTGATTACTCTTAAGGCTCTTCTGCTTGGTCTTGTTATCCGACGACGCTTTATTAGTTATATTTTGCTCGCGTTTACGTTTCATCATGAATTTCTCCCTAGTTGATTTCGCGGAACTCGGAATCTGGGCCTTCGGTGGTTTGCCACTCGCGTTGCACGGCGTTTCCGTTTGTACAGCTGGATTTTTGGAGGACGACCTGAGGCTCCTGCTGATCGGCTGTTTGTCATTCTTTCCGAGACTCTGTCTGGTGATCGGTCTCGTGTTGTTCGTTTCTACCGAGCTCTCCGATTCCTCGTCGCTCTCCTCCTCGCAGTACCTCTGCACCCTCAGCAGACGTTTGCTCTTTAAAATCAGCTTGTTATTTTTGCTCTTGTCCAATCGCTTGCTAACGCTGCCGTTGAACGAGCCGACTTTCGAATCCTTAGTCTTGGCAACAGGCTTGGCGCTACTCTGCTTCGCCTTGGCTTTAAGCTCGTTCTCCGTTTGCGCCATTCTACGAGCGTTCGGCAGTTCGGGGAAGCTCTCGATCGAAATGTTATCGTCGTTGTCCAAATCCGGGCTGACCAATTTCCTGCCGAGAATCTCCATGTACACGGCGGCCGCTTCCTTCGTCTTTCTGGTGGGCCGCCTGGAGAGGCCCTGCGACGAGACCGTGCCACTGGTCGATCTCGTGACTCTCCTCATCTCCGACTTGCTTCGGGTGCAGACCTTCTTCTGGATGCCCCTCTGTACGTTGCGCTTTATCTGCGACGTCGATTTCTCCACATGCGACTCCTCCGCCCTGTCGTCCTCGACATCCTCGTTGTCCTCGGCGGACGACGCGTCTGTATTTGATATATCGCTACTTTTCGACTTTACGTTGGCTCTCTTCTTTGGTTTCGGTAACGCGACTTTCGCCCTCGGGAGCGGTGGTTTATCCGTCTTACTGGCCTTGTCCGGCAGCACGCCGCTTCTCAGGCCGTGTCGCTTCGTCTTGATTCTAGGCAAGAAGGACTTTCGCGGCGCCAACTGAAGACCGGCCTTCAACATAGCTCTCTCCGTACACGACCTCGTCCTCATAACGCAAGTGGTTTTGAATTTATTTTTGATCCTTTGCTTGGCCAGCCGTTGCTCCTGGTACTTCTTTTTGAGCGCTTGAACCGTAGACGTAGCCGTTTTAAGCTTGGTAATGCTCTTGTGTAACGTACCAGTCTCTTTCTTCTTACTCGCAACAACAGGCTTTACTTTCGTCACATTTTTCTGGCATGTATTCTCTGGCTTCTGGATCTCTACGACAGTATTGATTGGGGGCAATGTTTTCTCTATAGAAGTTCGAGCTGGCTTGGATGCTGGTTTCTCTTTCTTAGTGTCGATATTGAAAAAATTTAAACTCGGCGGCAAAATAGATGTTCCTAAATTTGAAAAAAGAGAATTCGTTATCTAAAGAACATGTTTAGATTAAAATCAAGGTTTATAATAACTATATAAGTTTATAACTATGTAAGAGTAAAATAACAAATTATTACAGTAGTTTCTCTAATAACTGATTCTAAATAGAAATTCTCAATATATTTTATACATATCTGAATAATATATTTCATTCTACATTTTATTAATAAAAAAATTTTATATTGCACAAAAATTCATTTCTCCACATCCCTCAAAATTTAACCCACAGTAGTCACGTCTCTTGAAAATTCTGTAATGGATTACACCAGGGGCAAAATGATCCCAGCGCATTTAATTGGTGCCATATTTACAATTTTGGTTCTTTGAAGTAAAAAAAAATTACCAAACATATTTTAAACATTGTAGAACATAGAAATACAAAAGGAGGCTTAGTAAAGATTTTAACATGATAAAAAAATCGTAAAAAATTTTTAGAAAATGAGTTTTTTTATTCAAAAAATCACTTCTTAATTTTTAATTTTTTTGATCAAAATTTATGGCCATATTCTATAAATATGATACTTTTAAAAAACAGTTGTCTTGATTATACTGGTGTCAAAATGACCTAAACATAAAAATGTTATGTAAACGGTTGCTACAAATAGACGCGCTGGGAGCAATACCCAGACATCTAGGCACAAAAAGGGTACTTTGAACTTCAGGTAGATGACAAGTGAAGTCCCATTTTGAAATAAGAAGCTTAGAGATATAGAGCCCCTTAGAAATTTTTTTGGGGTTCAGTGGACCCTGAATAACCACGAACGGTTAACGTATGCTTTCATGGCTTAGAAGAAATGCATTTTTTTCACTAAGAATTATCGATTCGAACGAAAGGAAAATGACATTATCCATAAGTAAGCAATTAACCTCTGAAGCATAAAAATGTTAAAAAATCCTCCGTGTTTGGACGTTTGTGCGTTATTAATTCTGTGATCGTGGCAGGTTTGGCCTTCTCCTTGTCCTTCACGGGCGTAGGCGACGTATTGAACACCGTGGTCGCACCCTGCGCAAACTTTCTCTGTGCGTGAACTTTGGTCCTGGGGGAAAAAATGGAGATGCAATTGCAACCTTAGTATGACAACCTTCACAAAACTACTACAAATACGTAGCATGCCATCAAGCGTGTGTACTTGCTACACGTTTCTTCAAAATACCTATAAATTTTACTTCCAGTTTGAGAGAGCGATTATCGTATTGGAAACGATATTGCACGTGGAGGGACTGCGGAGGGGGGGAGGGAGGGCGGAGAAGGGATGAGGGTCAAGTACCTTTTCGGAGATTCCGAGAGTGGCTCCATGAGATCCACCAGGTCTCCCTCCTTCCTCTTTCGCTTGTCGTTGCGACTCAAAACCATCCTGAGGGGACGTGCGACTGGAACATCGGCGGCGCGTGCGAAATCGTCGTTCCGAGGTTGTTATATCAACTCACTGAACGTTCGAGAACATGCGGCACGCCAGAGGCATCCTTCGCGCGAGAAGCCGGCGGTCTCTCCGCGAAATTCGGTCCTCCGGTTCAAACTTTACGCGAACCAATTAAACACCCCGGGACGATCGGCGAAAGATCATCGCCGTCGCGTCATCGCTTCTCGCACCTCGAACGGAGCGCGGTGCGTGAGGGGAGCTTTACCACAACGAGCAGCTCGGGCGAAGCCGCTGGATCGTCCGCGGCGCGTTCATGCCGTGCGCGCACCGCTTCCCCGGGATTCGTCGGAACGGGAAAAATCGACGGAGATTATACACCAAGCTGACGGAAATCGCACCTCTCTGACTTCACCTTTCTCATCCTCCCGACCGGCTGCCGACGCGACTGTTCAATGTTCATTCGGGGACCTCAATTCCTCGCTCACGTTATGGCTGCTTATTCGGTGGTAAAATTAAATGCCACACGAATCCTTCGATCTGCAGCGCGGGTATGTATATATGTAGATATAAGGAGCGTATATAAAAGAAGGAATATCGATCTTTTAAAGGCCAATTCCTATGAAGTGTTATTGAATGAAGGACTCGAGAGGTTTGTTCTTTTTCGCCTGGGATCGACCACCTCACATCATGTGTGTATCTTTAAAACACCGACGAGATATACTATTAAAGACCGTCAGCCCTGGACAAATTTTCATGCCGGCCAACGGGCACGGAGGTAATTGCAGAGTGTCAATGTTATCGACTTTTGACATAAATTGATTGTGATTTATTAATTTTGAATTATTAAAATTTCTTGATTTTAATGATGTATTATTCAAATAAATAAGTAATCATACTTATTTATTTGAATAACATCATATATATATTGCTGCAAAATTTTTTTTCAACTACTGTTTTACCGTCTCCCTGGATAATCAAACACGGATGGTAACTATGAAAATGCAGTTTTAAATAAAATTAAATAAATTATATTAATAGCAAGATATAATACAGAGATAAAATACAATGTATGTATCTAAACACATTGATCTAATAATAAATCATAAAATTAATGTTATATTATTAACTATATAATTGCTTAAATTTTTATTATATATGTAAACAGCCACGCTAATTCCCGTAAAGGTGTCGGTCTTTAATAGTGTCTCGTCGATGTGATGTATGTACATACATACATCTATACATATATATATATATATGTATATATACACATATATAAAACATCCAGCGAAGCAAATTCGAAAGATGCCTACCCTGCTCCAATTCCAAGAATCATCTATGAGAGTCCATATATGATACATATATATACACACACGTGCATCATATATGTCATCCTATGCACAGTAGATACACTACACCTACACTCTTGTTTACGCAAAGCCACGGGTGCCCCTTCGGTGCTGCATGCGTGTAGTGCTTGCGGAACGTGCGTACACCTAGGAATTGAAAACGATCGTTGGAACGGGAGGTTGCATTTATCGCTTTATTAAGAATAAGTAAGTATAATTAAGACACGTCCCACGAACGTGGTGTCGCGGCTTCACGCTTGACGCAAACGGTGTAACAGGGCGGGGATATCGCTCGGGGATGCGCATCGAATTTCGCAATCGGCACTCGCACGTATACCTATTCGGAAACACTGTCTTCCTCTCGCGTTTTCCAGACGCGTCCTCTTGCCATTTTTCATCTCTCTCTCTCTCCCTCTCTCGCGCAAAAATTTTGGCCGTCGAAAGTCTCGAATATATAACAGTCGACACAGCTCGAGGATATTATAATCGTCGGACCTTATCGTCGCCCCTCGGATTTTTCGGTGTCCTCGCCGCGATGACTTCTATTTTTAGCGACACGCGTCACGTCCGTGTAGTGTAACAGGCGGCTTAGATCGCTTCATTTATCCAATACGGTGGTATCTCTCGCCGCGTTCTCGCATAATCATGCAAATTAAAAGTGCAATCCGTCTGATTCAGATTTTATACGCGCATTGTTTTTGCGACGCGTGTTAGATCGCGCGTAGCGGGATCTGCCGAAAGTGACGCACGCGACGCGAGTCTCGAGGCGCGTTCGCACGCGCGGTTGCATTACACTCGCGCCGCTACCACTTCTGACAGTTCTGACATCAGGCAGGTGAGAAAAGGGACACCGCGATGCAGTCCGTGAACAAGAATGGACCACCGCCGCCCTACGAACCGCCGCCTTACGCGCCGCCCGCTTACTCGCAGAACGTCGGAGGCGTACCTCCAGCCAGTCCGTTCACACCGGCGCAGACTTGTAAGTGTCGAAATGGCATTTGTGAATTTAATGTTAATATAATCGAAATGAAAATTGAATGTATTCGGCCCGTCACTAATCATATTATGTCACTAATTTGTGTTTTTTTTTCCGCTGTCGCTCTCCGTTTCCCGCAGACGCAAACGGGCCTACCATAGTCACCACTATCGTCCCACTTGGGCCGCAGTCGACTCACACAATTTGTCCGCATTGCCACGCTGAAATAGACACGTCGACGAAAACCGAGCCCGGCATGATCGCTTATATCTCGGGTGTCGTCATAGCGCTGCTGGGGTAATTATATGAGCACACAATGTCCGAATTATATTTTGTATCGGACGTACATGTACACTTTGTAACGCGCAACTGTTATCTTCCTTCTGTACTAGATGTTGGTTTGGTTGCTGCTTGATTCCGTGTTGCATCGACGAGTGCATGGATGTCCATCACACCTGTCCGAACTGTAAAGCTTACTTGGGACGTCATAGAAGATAAGTGGATTACATCAGCACATCCACACGTTGCATTTTGAACGTTGAAATGTCTACGATACTACCATAATGTAATATACCGCTTGATTTTGACCTCGTGGAAGACAGCTCTAATATGAGTAAGAGAAGAACAAGTGTTGTGAAAGAGGATGTAGCTCCAATTAGATCGAGTCAGTTAAATCTTTATGATGAAGATATATACGCTGTTCAAAGTCCGAGACTCGCGGTATGATTTTTTTTTTGCGCTAGATTGCGTGCGATCTAGTACAATTATTGGAATTGCATCATGCAGGAAAGCGTTCAGACTTCCCACCTGGGTACACTCATCATTTTATCCTTGTTTAAATTTCGATGAACAAGGATAAAATGATACCTGGATACATCCAAATTAATAATCTGAACACTTTCCTGTATAATGCAATTCTAATAATAGCAGGGATGCGTTCAGGAATTCGCGATACATCATGTTATCTTTGTTATCCGCCGCATATTATTTACACAAGGATAAAATGATATCTAAAGGAATCTGGACGAAGTTTCCGAATGCATCCCAGAATGCAGAATTTCTAATTTACTACATCAAACGTCGATCTAACGGGAAAAATCGCATTGCGTGCCTCGGGCTTTAAATAATTGTACAATTCTATTTTTTTAACTTTAACGTCTATAAGAAACTTTATCGCGTACAATTTGTTGCAGTCTCTTGCAGTCTTTCTTTTTAAATATTTGTCATACTTTTGCATGATGTCAATGGATTGCGTGCAAGATTTTTAATAGCAGGAAGCATGTCATTCTAAAACATTTGTTGAATAACTGGTTAAAAAAAAAAGAAACTTATACTTCCATATTATATTAATAGATTTGTGCTTCCAATATTTATTTCCATTACTAACGTAAATATGTGCCGACTATCTACAGTATTGATTTTTAAAAATTTTAATATGTTATTAATGATTCCGTCATGATTTATTCCGTTTTTTGGCTCAGATGTTATGTTTGTATTTATAACAGAATGTTAACATGGCTATAAAATTAATAGGCAGCAATACATGCAGCTATCTTTACTCATGGGGCCGTCCATCTCTACAAAATAACTAATGATATACATATTAATGATTAATTTTCTTCCTAAATTTTAATTGAATCATGATAACACAATGAAGATCACTCGTAATAGTTTAGCAGTAGTTTATTGAGGAAATACGATTAATAGTTTTATATTTCAAGATTCCAGATTCTTCAATTAAAACTTTCATCAAGAAACTTTTTCAGATAAATTAAGATCTCGTGAAATTATTAATCGTATTTCCTCAAAAAACTACTGCTAAAATATTACGAGTGATCTTCATTGTGTTATCATGATTCAATTAAAATTTATGTCAATTAAAATTCCATCTTTTCAATAACATAAAAATATAAGCTATCAGTATCAATTTTCACTTGATGATCCATACTTTCATGATACAAATGTGCGAGATAAATTTTTATATTATTGAAAAGGCGGAATTTGAAAGTTTAGAAATCTCGTGCTTATTTAGAAAAGAGACACACATACACACAATATAAAATATTTAATTTTTATATTTGCTAAAACGTGTCGAACATTTTATCACATTCAAGATATCACTTTTACATTCAGATCAGATCAGTGTACGTATGTATGTGTACATACAACAGCTTTAATGTGCACCAATGCGCACTAGTACGTCCAACCGAATTGGTTGGATATTGTTTTGAGAAGAATTTATGCTGATAGCTTCATGGGATAATGTAACGTTAGAGAATAATGTTTAGCAAGTGATATTGAATAGTCGAGAATTTGCTACACTTATATTTTTGCCGGCGTTGTGCCTCAAATCGAACAAGACTTCAAACCTCTTGTGCTCTTATTACAAGATAACTTCTATTTTGTTATGCATGTAAAAGAAGGTGAATAATGAGTGATTATTAACTTGTACGCTCACATATTTCATATGTCTCCTATATCTTAGCCTTGATTTAGCCTTGTTATTGCAATATATTGAAAAGGGAAAGTAGAAACTTGATAATATTATGCAATCTAAAACCTTTTTAAAAAGCATGTGAATAATAAGTGAATATTTTAACTTATACTCACACATATTCGAGATTTCTCTTTGTACATTTTGTCTTTGATATATGTACGTGTAATATTCACGATATGTTTAGAAGAAGAAAAAAAAACTTTATTGTACAATCATAAAATTCTTTAATATGTGCAATAAAAAAATTATTTTACTCTGAAATATCCATTTTATTTTATCCTGTTGTAATAACGTGAGTACGAAATCGCGCAAATGTTGTTTGACTCTGTTGCTCTTTTTCCTTATTAAATTGATGTTTACATCTTTCGGAATACTGATAGTTTTCTGTAATTTTCCTTATGCCTATTTCCACCAATGCAAATTAACTTCAATCTCGGTTCAACTTTTTATCTTTTCCCAGTTCTAAGAATTAAAGTTAAGCCTCATTAGTGGAAACGAGCATTACTCTTGCATTAAATGCTAATGTTCTGATAAGTCTACAGATGCAACAGATTGATAAGCTAATTTTGTATCAATAAATATGTAATATTATGTATATAAATGAAGAAATGATCCAAATTTTTTGGTTTAAATACAAAGTTTATTTTATAGAAAACAATTTTTAACAAATTTTATAATTTTTTAATTATTTGCCATTGCACTTTCTATTTACTTTACATTTTAAGCAATTTTTATTTGCTATTGCACTTTCTCTTTGCTTTATATTTTAAGCTATTTTTCCAATCATTTTCATTCCAATTCCTGACCTAAGTAACAAGTCCAGTATTCACACTATATACATATATATATACACATATATATATATATATATATATATATATATATATATATATATATATTATACACAGAGGACTAGTCGATTTTTTTAATTCAGCATGATGTAGCATCTGCAATTAAATATCGTAAATGTAATGATGTTAATATTGACAAGAAATATTATTGTACCAATGATAGAAAACGATACACTCTGTAAAAAACGTACACAAAAAACGTGTCTTTAAATAGTACTGGTAATTGATTCCTGACCGTTGAACGCTTCTGCGGAAGTGGATATCGGAGGATATAATTCTGCGAGGATATCGAAGAAGACTTCAATGCGTTCCAATCTGCTGTAGGCGCGTTTGAAGAGGTATTCGCACAAGTATCCCACGATGTGATCGGATTTAGTTTCGTATCTCGGGATATTTCCCCGAACCTCTCTCCAAACGCGCTCCATGCACTGAGTGTGCACGTCTGTAAATTAGAAAAATACATTATAGTATTACGTATAACCAGGGACGGAGACTTCCTTATGGAGCTTTCCACACCCAGAGATTCCGTGGATGTGGAATTCCACACCCTGAATTTGGGGTATTTAAAAAAAAAATTTTTTTAAAATAATTATCTAAAAGAGCTAGTTCTTGCATGATTGTATCGAGATAAAATTTAAAGAAAAATATTTATATTTGTAAAGAGAAAATACGAAGAAAAATTAAATATAGAGGTAGAAATATATTTTCGACGTATAACAGAAGAGATAAAATATTTGTGTTATTACGTACCTCTCCCCTCCCCCCCCCCGCTTAGATAAGATACTCCACATCCAGAAAATTCAAAAGTCTCCATCCCTGCATATAACACAGTGAAACATTAGAATATATTAACAATTTTAAACATCTCTCACCATTCTCAGGCTTGACCAACTTGTAAGAATGGTCGACTGTTAACTGCCGGACGTCTTCATTGTTTAAAAAAACATGCAGCTTCCAACAATTGAACACGACAGTAGTTCCTGGCAATATTCATTCTTTGATACAGGCCAGGAGTGCCTGTTCCGTCCGCTCTTGCACCGGGGCGATAAAAATCTTCTTAGATTCGCGCTCAAATCCTCCGAAAACCCAATTACTTTGAATAAACCGGCTGTAATTGTACTTTCGTCGGCCAATTTTTGCCTCGTCAATCTCCACCGTGCGACCCGGGCCGCCGAGCTTCTGGCTATGCTCTGCGGTCCAGATCACGCAGACCTGTAAGTGGTAGAATATTAACACTTTAGACACACGTATTAATCACTGTATATCTTTCTTGTGTACCCCAGTAGACGAAAATGGATCAAAATATATATATTTTTTTAATTGAAATGGATTGAAATTTTCTAAACTATGGATTGACATGGATTGATGGCCTTTATAGAAATGCATTCATTTTCACGAAGGCCAATCCATTTCAATTAATTTTAATTCATATATGATTTGCAATTTTAATCCATTTCCGTTTAGTGGGACATTTGAGCTGATTATTAAAATATATTAGGATATAATTATATATATATACAGGGTGTTCATAAAGTATCGGACCCCTCCTCTATCTCAGAAAATACTAACTGGATTTCCTAAAAGTTTTGTATTTAAAGTTTTTTTATCCAGTTAGTATTTTCTGAGATAGAGGGGGGGGCGGGGGGGATCCGATACTTTATGAACACCCTGTATACCTCTCGGCAAAAATTGAACCAGTGGACAAGACTGGGCAACGACACGCCAGTTTCGTCCAGCGCGTTGTCCTGACGCGGATGCGGGAACATCAGAAAACATGCTATTATTCTGCATATTGTACCCATGTCGAGATGACTGTTGCGGAACCAGCTCGCTGTACCAGTTTGTTTCAAGCTGCACTGTCTGGAGACGCGTTTCTTGCGCGCATCGTTCGCGAGGTACCGTTTTCCGCATTTGTACGACAATGTTTCCTTATTAATTTCAACATCGTTACCACATCGATGGCACTTAATCGCGGACGACAGGACCCCGTGTTGAATTAAAAAATCTACCAACTTCTCCCTGTCGTGTACGAGGGACGCGAATTCAAATAAGCCCAGCGAATAGGCCATCGTTCGCGACCGGCTCGTCGAGAATTGTCAGGAAAATAAGTATACAATCGTTGCCGGCACCCTATATTCAACCTTATCATTTTGCCGCTGCTAAAATTGAATGCGCTTGCAGGGCGATGTAGGGTCGACTGAGGTTATGCTGGGTCTTCCTTCCGCCGAATTCTCAATCTATGGGTCTACCGGGCTCCCGCACACAGGACGCGACAATGCCGACAATACGCGACGGCGGTGTCAGCCAATCGGCTTACGATTTGTCCACGAGCGAAAGAACGATTGGCTTACCGCCGTCGCATCTCGACGCGTTCTGTGTGCGCAAAAGCCGAGTTTAATATCCCGTCACGTGGCCTTCTAGCGGAGCTGGAGAAGGTTTCTGAACGCAGCTTGACAAGTGGAACAACGCATCCCCTCCCCCCGACATGCGGCATCACATGTGATAAAAGGCGGGAAGAGATCAGCTCGATCAGCTGGATCGCCTGGATCAACAATAAAGTTGTCATGTGATGTTGATACCCGCGGAACGCCGTTTTCCAATCGTTTAGTTAATCAATTAATTTGTACATCGCGTGATCAACGTTGGATAACGCGATGGCTGACGAATATCCGGATCCAGACGAGGAGTTCGATTTTATTCATCAGGCGGACTATGAGGCTCTAAGAGAACTGGAAGATGGTAAACAGTATGATATTATATTGCGTGTTTCCCAATCGGAATTAAAGTAAAAAAAAAAAAGAGTTGAGACATAAATCGATAATTTGAAACCTCATAAACATTTCTCTTATATTCGATTATTTTTATTGCACCTTGTCAAATAAGTAATAAATAATTATTTTCAGCTGAAAGTGAACTGCTTGAGACGAGACAATTGTCGCAGCCTCGCCCTGGTTCTAGCGGAGCGTCTCGGCCAGCTAGCGAGAATAAACGTCAAGCAGATGTCGAAGTTTCTGCGCCTGTTAATCTTAATGAAGTCAACAACGTAGCTAGCGATAATAGAAAACGCAATTATGAAGATTTGTATGGCAACAGTACACCTAGCACGAGTAAAAAATGCAGTTACAAAGACTTACATGACGACAGTACACCTAGCACGAGTAAAAAACGCAGTTACAAAGATTTACATGACGAACAGTACACCTAGCACGAGTAGAAAATGCAGTTACAAAGACTTACATGACGACAGTACACCTAGCACGAGTAAAAAACGCAGCTCTGAAGATTTGCATGATGATAGCACACCTGGCACGAGTAAAAACCGCAATTGCGACGAATTGTTTGGTGACATCTCTGATTTGTTGGACACGAATTTCCCAGGTACGGCACTCAATTGTAATATAAAAATAACTAAGGTGACTTAATTATTTTTGGGATAATTATTTAAAAATCTTCGCTCTTAGTTGACGGCGACATTGTGGAAGAACCGAGAGAGAAGAAGCTTCGGTGGGATCAACCTAAAGATATCATTAAGAAAATATTGAATGTAAGACAGTTGTTGCATGAACATAATGGACCCACGTCGGTGAAGCTGAGTCACAATAAGTGAGTGAATTAGTAATTTGATGATTTGCAATATAAATTATAATATTTGTAAATAATCCACTCAATATTTCTGTGTCTGATGCAGCAAGAAAAATTCCATTTCTCTACGAGTTCCACCGTGGAATTTTGTGGCTGTCACAAGGTCGTATGATTCTCAACGCTTGTACGTCAGAGTCAGGAATTTGCAGAGTGATATCAAGCAGTCCAAAGGGCCGATTGCTAATCTGTCTTCGACGCCTTATAAACAATTGAAACTCCAGGCCGAAGAAATTGTACGTATATTCGTCAATTTTCCTTCAGATTACATTTTCATGCCGCAACATTAACGTGACGTGTCCTTATTACAGATGGCTAAAAAACGGGAGTTATCGAGTCAGCCGTCAGCCGATGTGACAACGAAGAACGTGATGAACGATGAATTGTGGGTCGATAAGTATCGGCCTCGATCGTATGTAGAGCTACTGTCGGACGAAACTGTTAACAGACAATTCTTACATTGGCTGAAACTTTGGGACAAAGTGGTATTTAATCGAAACCCCACGAAGCCAAAGAGAAAGCAGCAGCCTTTGTTTGGAAAGAGAAATAACGTTGACGACGAGAAAGAGATCGAGGAAGTGGATAGCAAAGGATATCCGATAAAGAAGGTAGCCTTGCTCAGCGGTCCACCTGGATTGGGTAAAACGACTCTGGCACACATAGCAGCCAGACACGCCGGTTACAACGTTGTGGAAGTCAATGCGAGTGACGAAAGGACTCCGGATGCGTTTAGGTAATGCACGAGACTCGCATTGGCGATACGCTCGAAAGTTACAGTATTGTATTTTCGTTTAGACAGATTCTCCTCGCGTCAACGGAAATGAGGGCCGTGATGGGCGCCGATCCCCGTCCGAATTGTTTAATCTTCGACGAGATCGACGGTGCACCGGCCGCGTCCATCGAACTTCTGTTAAAGTTCATTCAAGGCAAACTAATGCCGAAGAATAAAAAGGGAAAGAAACAAAACGTGGAGAAAACGTCCGATGGCTCTACGCGTCCTATAGTGTGCATTTGTAATGAACTGTATGCTCCGTCGTTAAGGTAATTTTAATTCTAAAGTCGTCTAAAATGACATAATAAAAAAAAAATCTTCGTAATGCTCGAATTAAAAGAACGATTAATATTCTAATTGTATCGTGTCTGTTTTGTATTTATATAGAGCTCTAAGGGCCGTCGCCGTAATAATTCCCGTACCGGAAGTAAGTCCTTTAAGATTGGCAGAACGCCTGATGGAGTTGGCAAGAAAGGAGAAGTTAAACGTGGACTTCGGCGATCTCGTAAAAGTAGCGGAAAGATCCGGCTGTGATGTTCGAACTTGCATTGGGGCGTTACAATATATGGGCAGCACCAATTTGAGAGATAATTTATCTCTAGGCCTGAAAGATACTCGTAAGAATTTGTTTGATTCGTGGAAAAGTATACTAACGATTCCTATGAACCGAGAAGGGGTACTTCCTATTTCCGAAAGGATTCACAATATTTTGAGGACTGTGCAAAATGGTAATTTCGTAAAACTTACTGTTTTACGCATTTTAATGCAATAATTGACAATTTTCTGTATCAAGAATTTTAACGTATTTTCTATAAGTGTTTATTTATTCATTTAGGTGAAATGGAAAAATTGGCACAAGGAATATTTCACAATTATCCTGAAGTTTGTGACCGGAAGCTTGATAACGTACCCATGTCTCTGGAATGGTTTCAATTCTATGATTCAGTAACGTCGCTCGTTGCACACAAGCAGATTTGGTCGCTTATGCCCTACACGAATTATGGATTTATTGCGTGGCATTTGCATCTTGCACGAATACAGAAAATGAAATTATCATATCCCACAATTAACAGCGAAGTCAGTATTACATGCCAAGAGGAAATTCTAGTTTAAAAAATATACTTAACTTGAAATTTTCGCGTATTTTCTTTTTTAATAATCTTTCTCTTAAAAATTGAGGGAGAAAGATCTGAATGATTTATGTACATATATATTTTTTAAATTTTGTATTATATATATAAACTTTTTATAAATGTATATATAATTTAAATTTTGTATATAAATGTTGACAGTTTTTCCAAATGTTTAATATATTATTCTCGTTATTTTTTTTTTTAGATATTTCAAAAATCAGCGAAGAACACCGGTATTTTAACGGCGATACGAAAAGTGTGCGGACATGACGTTTTTACTCTGACTATCGACGTCGCTGGTTTTATGTCGGACATCCTAGCGCCCAGATTGCGCACAGTTCCGTCTCATTTGTATTCGCCAAAAGAGAAGTCTGACCTCGCCAGAATAATAAACGTGATGCTGGATTTCGGTTTGTCGTTCGTGCAAGAGAAGAATCCTCAGGGAGGATATATCTACAATTTAGATCCGTATGTGACAACGATATCTAACAAATAACACTCGTTTTCATTTAAAATAATGCACAAATGCATTCTTGTTTTTTTTTTTTTTTTTTAGTAATATCTTGGAAGTTGGCGTTTTTCCTGATTGCAAGGCGCATCGAAATCTGACGTACGCGGTACAGCAGATAATCGCGCAGGAGTTGGAGGTCGAACGTTTGAAGCGCGCGAGCATTTTAACGGGGCTCGGTGGAGTCAACTCGGAGATTCCGGCGAATCCAAAAAAGCCAGAAACTACAGAAAATATTCAGAATAGATCTTCCAATCTTCCGAATAATAAGAATAATACGAAACAATCTACAAACGAAGAAAAGAAGCCTTTAAAAGAAATAGTAAGTTTCACGCGCTTTTTCATATTTTATCAGTCAGTTTCTTTATACTTCAACAATTTCAGGTGTACAAAGACTTTTTCGGAAATATCATTACGAGTGAGAAGCAGAATAAAGCGGTGAATCGTATATCCCCGAAGTCACAGAAAAATTACTCCCTGATGCAGAACATTTTAACGAAACACGGAATATGGTACAAATATAAAGAAGGTTGCAACAACGCCGTTCGCCGGAGTGTGTTTATGAAGAAATTTTTATAAATAGACGGACTTAATTACAAACTGCAAGTACGACTGTATTTTTGTGGCTTCATAGCTTTCAAGAATGTGTGTAATACATGTTCTGTATTCTTTTGTTACCTTTTTGTTTTTTTTATGCATAGATGAATATAATTTGTATCTATTTATAAAATACACATTTTACAAAAAAATTTATTTTTCAATTTCTTAGCGCAAACGGTTATTTGATAAATCATGATATAACAAAAGCGTACACAATCGTTTGATAAAACAAATCCTTTTGGAGAATCCAATTTTATTCTACATTTGTAATTTTATAAATAGACATTTTTTTATGTATTATGTATAATTATGTATTTCTGCTTAAGATCAATTCAGATTTATTAAAAAGTAAAAATTTCCATGTAGGTAGACTTTTTATTTACGTTTAGCAAGTCATAAGCGAGTGCAATGATAGTGCTGAATGCTGATTAGTGTTCTATGTGTGTGTGATGAATAGTTTGTATCTATTTATAAAATACATATTTTACAAAAAAATTTATTTTTCAATTTCCTAGCGCAAACGACTAGTTGATAAATCATGAAATGACAAAATCATACACAATCGTTTGATAAAACAAATCTTTTTGGAGCATCCAATTTTATTCTACATTTGTAATTTTATAAATAGACGTTTTTTATGTATTACGTATAATTATATATTTCTGCTTAAGATCAATTCAGATTTATTAAAAAGTAAAAATTTCCATATAGGTAGACTTTTTATTTACGTTTAGCAAGTCATAAGACGAGTGCAATGATAGCGCTGAATGCTGATTAGTGTTCTATGTGTGTGTATATAACATGTGAGTGTCATGTCAGACTTCGCTTTAACCGCTTTAACGTCGTGTTTGATATGGCAATTTTTCAATTGCCATTTATCAGAATAGATATAAAACAAGTAGAGGGCGTGATTCCGTGCCGATAACGACATTTGGACGTTATCCTGCCAATTATTTTGGCCAATTTTAAGTAAAAAGCAACGTAATAATGGTAGATCGGTCATTTATAACCTATTTCTAACCGTTGAATTTATTCCTTCCATTTTCGTATATTTATTTTGTTCGTCGTTTAATTGTGTTATATTCAGTATTTTCATATATATTTTTCTGCATTTTTAAATATTTTTAATTATTAATGAATTTCATTTTTTTTTCTATTTAAACGTGCAATGTTTTGTTTTGTTTAGTTCCACTAACATTTCAGATTTGCGATAAAAATAACAGGTTGTTTTATATTTAGGAGGAGAAAAGAGACGTACCATCGACACTAAGGAAGTTCCTAGCGGTTGATGCTTATTTGACCAACGTTTTTGTGAATTGGGCAGAACAAGTATTACTTTTGAAACGATTGAAGGCGTATCACAAAACCTTAGATGTAAGAATTATTTCATTTTGAATTTCATTTTGTTGATTCAATGAACGACAATAATACATGAGCTTGTATACGTATATTCCTTTTACTATTATTTTTCACTATTATATTTTCAGATATCGTGTCACAGCATAGCATGGCTGGCAACTAATCTCATGTTGGTCTGGGTTTTTAACAATTCAAATTTGTATCAGATGCAAGTTAATCTTTTTATAGGTATACATCCAAAACAAAGCTAACGACACATTGTCGCTCTTTCAGAATTATGTTAAAAGACATGACTTATTTCAGGACTGGTGCTCGACATTATTCTAGTAGCAGTGCTAAAAGCGATAACGAGAAGGAGACGACCTACAACCGACGGCAGCCTCGCGCCTGAAAAAGATTCCTTTCCGTCCGGCCATGCGGCACGCGCAGCATTTATCACATATTTTTTTCTCAATCTGTGGCCTGTACCTCTGATATGTGTGCCGTTCTTGCTGGCGTGGACCTTTGCAGTATGCGTGTCCAAACTTTTGATGCGAAAACATCACATGGTCGACATTTGGGCGGGGATAGCTCTCGGTATGTTCCAAGGCTTGCTAATAGGATACATGTATTTGGAACAGGAGACTTGCGCGCGTCTAGTTTGGTGGATCACGGATGAAAAAATATCCGGAGCCGAGTATGATGTTTGATATAGATTTCCTATGCAAGAAAATAATTCACTTTCTTTCTCTTATTTTTATCTCAGTTGTTGAGTTTATACGATTATATCGGGTGCGTAGTTAATATTAATTTTATCAAAATATTTTTATGTGATATAAATGTAAAATATAAATATTTTATGACTTTTATGTGATACGTAAGTGAATATACATATATAATGCTGCGCGCGCACGCGTGTGTACACATATGGCTCAATTTATTTGCGTAAAAGCAAAAGAAAGAACAAAAAAACACCGATATAAAAACTAGATGCCACATTATTTTTTATAACATATGTATTAAAAATTGAAGTAAATATTTTTTCAACTTCCATTTATTTCCTTCTTGGATTAACAAAAATGCATTCCATATACCCTCAACGTATCCCGTAATCCTTGTTTCCTTTTTCGTAACTATAAGCACGTATACGCTTTACACGCTTTTGTGTACGGATTATATATAAAATTCTGGTTGAAATAACAGATGTGAATATTCAATTTTTCCCAAGCTTATGCTATAACCCTTTATATTAGCCAGTGACTACATCATACATTACGTGCGGGCGGGTATAACGACTCGCGAGTTACGTTAACATTCAGCGCTGACAGTGACGGTAGATTAGAGCGAATAATTTATATCGATACAGACCATTTTGTGCTATCGATCCACGTCTTTAACTGTAGTCCTTATAATCTCTGTAGAATGTCCCGCTACTTGGATTATATATCCTGAAAGTTTAATGAGCATCTCTTGATGTCTATATATATATATATATATATATATACACATGATAAACTGTGGCGATATTGATACGATTTCACACAGAAACAGTCTTCAATTAATAGCGCATACATTTGCCAAGATATACTGTACGTGGTCCTATTTTAAGTCTACTCATACGTTCCTAATATATGTGATATACCTAATTGTCATGCGTGTTTCTAGGGTGACTACACGAATTCGCGTACAGTACAAGCGATTTTATTTTTTTTTTTCTATGCATTACGTGCATGTATGTTTCAGCAATCGATCTGTCAATCAGTTGTCAAAAGTTCAAAGAAAATACTGCGGGGAAAGCTACGCGCTATTCGTTTCGTTTTTTTTTTTCGTTACTAAATACAAATAGATATAAAGTATTTTAATTAATACGCAACTTACAAAATTATTACTAGATGTGAAAAATTATATACCGCAGAATTACAGGAAAACATCATAGACATACACTGCATACACACATACACATACAACGCGCACGTAAAACAATCAAATATAGTAATGTAAGTTTTACAAGAAAGAGGACTGTAATAAAGACTTGTATTCCAAAACGATCCATAGAAAATTCCTCAACGTCGCATAGTTCATACATATTTTTGTATTGATAATTTAATGGTGACATCAAATATTCTTCGTTCACACAAAGAGCTTAACTTGTTAAGTGAAAATATAACGACAAACATATATAACGAATATATGTTCATATAAATAAATAATCACGCGTAGACAAGACGTGCGTGTAGTATAATTTTTTCTAACGCAAATACAAAGTTATTTGTGTAGTTCGTTTACCTGCGGCTTTGTACAGTTTATACAGTCAATAAAAAACATCTGTGGTAACTTATATTGTCTATCTCAAAAGCAAAAAACCTTTATGCTATTGAGATATTTTCGACAGAATATTCTAAAATTCTTCGCAATGTTTTATATTCATGAGTAGACAGTATTCATTCCGGTAAGCTTTTTATTATGTGCGCATGATACATTATACTTCTTAATTTCATTTTTGAACAGAGATATGAATATATAATTAATAATTATATTGTATATAATTCCTGATGGAAAACATTGTCATATTTTTAAGAATTTTTCATATTCTAAATTTATGAAAATTAAAAAAATACCTTAAACCTCTTCAGATTTTATAAGTTTTCTTTGAAAATTATGGAACGAAATATCTTAGAATATTTCCGAGAATTTGATATATTTGATATATAATTATTAATACAGTGCTTGTGTTGATAGAGTGGACTAAACTGAGCAGAAAAAGTCCTGTATCCCATTTTGCGATTTTCGTGATAATGAGATAATAATTAATATGGATCCGCGAATAAGCATGAGGAGAGAGATAGCCCAGTTTCACATGCGTTCATGGTTGCTAGAAGCAAGGCGAGATGTTTGGAAGTGTGCTCAATAAACAGCACAATTTATATATTACGCGCTGCTTCTATATTGTACCACTCGCCCTGTTGGCCCACTCTGTATAAAAGAATTCTAGAAGAGACGTGTGTATAAAGACTTTCTCAGTATTTCTGAAAAGTGTTTCATTTGTATAAAAAATCTGAGAGATTTTTTAAAAAGTTACAAAATTATATAGAAATTGTGAAAAACTCTCAAATTTATATAGAAAAATTATATGAAGAGCTCTAAGAAAAATTTTCACTAGAGATATAGTATATCTAATTCATTCGTCTTATATGCACTTACAACAAATTCTGACACATGCCTAAATCAATGAAACAAATGTGGATTATTTACTTTACAAAAACAATTTCTGAATTTTCAAACATAAATTAAGATGTAGGATTTTTTTTCTTAATTTCTAATAGCTCTATTTTAAATTTTTTAGATTCCTTCTCTGCAAGAGATTTATTTTTTATATCAAAGTAACAAAACTAACAAAGCGACAAAATAAAAAATTTTAAATATTTAACACAATTCTTTAACGTAAACATTGATTTGCTTAATTAATACTTTTGCAAATTCTGTATTTACGATACATCGCTACAGTCTTATAAACAAAAAGAATTAGAGAGAAACGCTTCTACTATATTAGATATATAAAAAGAAATATAAAAAAATATATAAATTTAAAATCGTCTATCGCAGTGCTTCAACTGTGAGTTAGCGACTATTTTTCCCTCCTAGATTTATTATTATTAATTCTATCTACGTAAATAGGAAAGGAAAATCAAGTTTAGCGTTAACCCAGGTCTGATCCGCTCCTAAGCTTCCCGGGGGAAAAAAAAGCAACGAGGAAGATAATTACGTATCAGCCAGATCGTTTCACCATAAGGGTGAATGGTAGAACTTAAGATCCAAGTGGCCGTGTTGATTGGTGCCGGTGGCCACTTCCTGGCCGCACGACGGCGACGGTTTCACGTTCTTCTCCGTTTTCTCGGGCTCCAGCAGGACAGGGACGAAGGGCTTGGTTTGATTATCCGGCACGACGGGCGTCGGGACGGTGTTCATCTCGAGGCTACGCTGCTTCTGCTCCTCCTCGGAGTAGAGGCTCAGGGAACGCGGCCGCTCCAGTTTCAACGGTGGAGGCGGCGACGCGTCGCTGCGGCTGTCGCCTTCGTCTTCTTCTCTCTTATTGATGATATGAGCTTCTTCTTCCTCTCTTTTATGATGGCTTGGTCTGCGGCTGTCGTCATTGCTGAAAAATCAACTCGCCCGTCAAGTTATGACAGGTGACAAGCAAGCAAGCAATATGCAGTCGGCAGCGATATGCAATCACAATACGTCTTTCTCTGTCTTGTCAGTCTCGCGTTCGCGCAAATCTGTCGCGAGCGTCTTCGTGCCAAGGATCTCGTTTCCATAGACACTGGATAACGTAAGGTAAAAGAATATAAAGTCGCGAGATGAGGAATTTATAAAAATATAAAAAAAATGCTGGATTTTTTATTATAGTTATAAATCAAAAGAGATAATTGAAAGATCAAGAAGAAAAAAAAGTACAGATGGAATACTTGCGTAACACTACAGTTTTCTTTCTCTTAATTCTAAAAATCAATTTCTTGGAATTAAATACATTTTAACTCTTTGAAGCAGAGATTTCACACACACACACAAATGTAACATTTTAAGCAAATAAACAATTTCACATAGTAACGCGAAATTAAAACATCAAAATAGATTTACTTTTAAATAATTGTTTGAGATTAATCGTTTGAGATTGATAGTCTATCGAAATCTTATGAACGACGCAATTTTAAAATGTAGTAAATGTTGTAATTCTTATATACAATAATATATACAAAAGTCCATTTCGTACAACTGTATGCGTAGTTAACAATAAGCATGCTTCGCTCATACTGATGAACATTAAAAAACATTAGAAAATCGCACAATTTCAGCAAACATAAATTATATAACGAAATATAATGTTATGTATAGAATATTGTCCACTTTGACAAAAAAAATTGATCAAACGGAACGACAGAATACAATTTTTATTGCCCTTATTCAAAGAAATATCTAGTTTTGCAAATTACATATGTAACTAAAAGTATATATAGTTGACCCGATCATTACGATTATTTGATTAGTATTAACGGAATTTACTCTTTTACAAATGCATAATTTGATCAATTATTTTGATAAATAAATAAAAATGGGACAATCGCCCTTTTCCCCCTCCTCAGTTTTATTTTTCATACTTGATACATTTAGGATTGCATCTTGAAACACTGACGCTTTACATTTAATAAAGTATCAAGTAAAGTTCAAAAAGAACTTTGATCTTTTTCACGTATGAAAGTTGGAAGATATCCAGATTCCTCTTTAGCTTAATTTACATCTCTTCGGTTAAAGGGAAAGTAAACGTGGCTATGTGCGCAGCGAGTTAGCAAATGAAACTTTATTAACTCATATGTAAGTGCTAATAATTACAAACTTATAAACTACAATTTACATAGAGCACGTCAAATAAATATAATGTACATATTCTTATACTCATAAATAATATAAATTAAGCTGGAATACTCATAAATTATGTAAATTAAGCTGGAATGTGCGTGCGTGCGTGCGTGTACACAAATATTGGCTTTTAAGTGTGTTAAAAAAAAAAGTGATTTGGAGTATTTGGACACATTTCTCCTGAATTCTCTACATTTCGCTATCTCTTTCATTTCTCTTTTCGTATTTACACATTTTGCAATGTTATAAATATTCGTAATATAAAAATTCTCTAGCGCCTTTTTAAGGTTCTTTCTATTATACATCACTATTATTATTATTTAAATTATAATTATTACTGTATGCGAGCCATTACGTGTAATATTTGTGGTATTATTAATATATAACATATGTTGACAAATCATTGATTATTGTACAACTGTGCAATTAATTTAGTTCGTTTGTTTACGCATAAATATAAGTATTACAAATAATTCCTTTAAAAAGAATCAAACAACTTTAATGTAATTTGTTTACAGATTTTAAACACGAGCTCATCGCAAATCAGTTAATGTATCTGTGGCGAGTTAAAGAGATGTTGGATCCTAAATTCCAACCCGTACATTTTATTATAATTTAGTATTAAAAAGATAACGAACACAACATGTTAGTATTATCACAAGGTTATAATATAATATCAAGGTGAAAATGTATCTCTAATGTGTTGTATCGATAAATTATATATTTTCAATTTTATACTTTTTTCAAATTCTTCTCATATAAAACACAGACTTTTATTAACAAGTTTCAAATTTACGCAAACTAAAATCTGAAATTTGGGTATAACCGGACACCCGTAAGTAACCCAGACATATTAATTCATCTAAACATGTTCTGGCAAAAGGTAGCGTTTATGGATTCAATGTAAGAATAATATTTTGGCAAGCTCTCTCTCTCTCTTTCTGAGACAGAGACAGAGAACTAAGAATTATCGTTGTATGTCTAATTAATCTACTGACTAACTTTTCGATATTGCAGATAATAAAATTAAATCGACAATCGATTAACGCACGACATTGCCACAACAAATTATTCGAAGCGTCTTGGATTATTTAAAATGTTTCAGATGTATTGAGCACACACACTCTTAGTAAGATTTTTGAAGCTTCGGTGACTGTTAAAAGGAGAAAGATATGTGTGTGTTTACAGTGCAACAATGCGAAAATAAATATAAATGCAGGCAACACATACTTTTATAATTTTTCTCTCACAGTTCCGCTATTTAAAATTAATAAATTTAAACATCGTTATTTCCATGCTGAGTATCATTTTGCTCTTTACGGCTAAAAATTTCTCACTCGGAGTTTCTTAAAGATTAAATTTTTTTATTGCACAACCATGAGAGAATAGCCGTCCAAGATATCACAACCAAAAGATATTGCACATAATAATACTTTCCATGTGCAACACTATTATTACGCACAACAGTCTTCAATTAAATATTAAGGAAGATTAGAAGGCAAGCAACAATTTGCAAGCTCGGATTGGATCACTTCAACACTGCGTGAATTTTACTCACCCGGTATGCTCGGCTGATTGACCAAGCATCGCTGTGTTATGGATTATCTAAAAGAAAGCGTCAATATGTATGATTAGTCATGCTACGCTACGTGTTACGAAGTTAAAAGAAATAATGAAAGCCTAAGAGAGATAATGAAGATTGTATGATTAATTTCCAAATACGTATTAATACTAGATTTGAATGGAGAAAATTTCCCAAATATCGTTTTGCGATAAGAAATTCTTTTACGCTTGATTTCGTTTGCAATTAGAAAGGTAGAAATTAGAAATGTTAAATATTTTCTGTATAGAACTGCTTCACGTATACATTTTTAGCAACGATTAAAAATTTTGAATATTATTTCTTTATATACAATTAAAAAATAATACTCTATATTATTATTCCACATTTAGAGATACACATTTAAGCTTTACAAATATTAAAATCTGGTGATTTTAGTTATGTTCCAGATGCATACAATTTCTGTTTTCTTTCTCTCTCTCTCTCTCTCTCTCTCTCTCTCTCTCTCTCTCTCTCTTTCCTCTGTCTTCCATAATACATACAATTTAACATATTTAACACACTTTTATGTATAATTACTCATATGATACGCTCGCCGGGACTGATTAAATTAAAACGTGAACAATTTGTAAAGGGTTTTCAGCTACTTCTCTACGTTGTTGTACTCACATTTGCCATGGAACAGGGCGGTCGTGCCGCGGCGTATCTACCAAATGAGCTACGTGAAACGGACGCCACGTACGGTACACCGTTGAGACTGAAAAGCGATATATCATTTTCTTCCGTATTACAACCGCAAACCGTTTAAGACTCGCATCTGTCGCTTCGTAGTTCGACTTGACGCACCTACCTAGCACCGTTTCTCCCGTTATTGTCGTTGTTGTTAGCTGACGTACCGTCGTCCAAACTCATTCTTGGAGGTAAGCTGTATCTGTTGCTCCTCACGTCTCGACTCTCTGCAAATGCGAAAACGATGGCAGATGAGAAATACACGTACGGAATTTCTACAAACGCAAAGACAAATTTTTCTTTAAATCTATACTTGTAATTATTTTTACGTACGTTCAACGTTTTCAAATTTCAAATTTCAGATATTTCATTAGAAGTTCCTTCAATAACCGCAGTAGATGTAAATAATTAAATCTATTTTTCACATCTATTATTTTATTTAGTGGCAACTTAAAAAGTGAAAAACTGGAAAATTAATTAAATATTTCAAAAATTTTAACAAATTACTTTCGAAACATACTTTTCATTATATCTTTCTAACAGTATATAAATTCGTTTTCCTATATACGCTTCCCGTCCTTTCTTCCTCCACTTTATTATCCTACAAACTTACACGATTCTCTTATCTATTTTTAATATCATTCATCAGCTTGCGATAGCATTCCCTTTTTCATATTTAATGTTCCATTTTCTAGTGTATAAAACACTCATCGATTTCTCGAGAGATACCATCAACTAAATTAGAGCGAATTGTGCATAATCAACGTAAAATGTGAGTCAAATAACGGCTAGGGACGGAGCTCGATCGATCGTAGATATAATCAAGGCACATGAATTGTCCTTAGCGTGGCATTGGCCGCGATTTTGAGCCTCCCCGAGCGCGCCATCGCCGATTTAGGACACGGAGAAACTCGATGCGAATGCCTCGCCTCGTAGGGCGATCCGACCTTCAGAACCAGATCGACAATGTCTGACCTTGCATCTGTATAGATAGACACCTTGAAAATCCGCGAGAAAGACACGAGAACTCCGATCGGAATCACGGAAGAAAGAATTATTGAGAATCGATCATTTCGGGAAAGAGCGTGAGTCACGGAAAGTAAAAACTTTCAGATGAATAAAGAATGTACAATATCGTCTTTTTTCATATTTCATATCCATCATTATTAAACTCAGCGTCCCAGAATAATCTCGTTTTCGTGCGTTGATCTCGCTGTGCGGAATTATAATGGCATGTAATATCGTTTATCGTCTCGCTGAAACGCACGAAAAGAATGATCGGCACACAGTTTTTGCGAGGCAGTCGACGAGTTTCGATAAGATCTGAGATTTATCTTTAATCGCGTATATCACTGCAATTTATCTTTCGCCGAAAAACAACTGCCTCGTGTCGCTTTACTACAAGAGAAACGAAGTATATTACACGCCGTTCTTTATAATATATATCGAAGATTATTATATATATTCATTTTTATTTTTTATTTTAAGTATAATTTTATTTTGATATAATCTGTCTTACTGCTTCCTATAGCATAATTCTCATCGACAAAACGCTGGGGTCTTCCTCGACCCCACCCTACTATTGTAAGGTTAATGAAGGATTCCCCCGATTCGCATCCCTTCTTTCCTTTACTTATCCCACGCTCCACGCTTCACATCCTTGATTATCCGTAATCACGAAGGCGGAATAATCACGAGAATCGTGTTCTTATAAATGAATACAAACGTATAAAACTATAATAAGAATTGACCGCAGACAGAATTATTACAATTGGTTCGATATTCTTTTGCAAGACTTTTTATCACAGATATTTGTAATATAAAAAGAAGATCGTACGAAACACGCACAGAAATACAAATTATTATCTTTACATTTTTCCAAAATTTGTCACATAATTAAAAAAAAATGCACGCAGAAGTATTAATTACGTACCGTCATTGAAGAATCCTTCGAAAACGACGAATTTATTATTTTGTGGGATAATCTTCGAGAGTCCATAGTATTTTCGTAGAAAAGCCAAGAATTTCTCCGATGGTCGATCAATTGCCAATTTCACTGGCCTAAGGTTCTCCTCCTATAAATCAAAATATTTTTTATTAGAAGTAGATTAAAGACAAAAAATTATGCAATTTGTAATATACATATCTTTTTTGAAAAGCAACTAATGTTTTCTTCACACCAAGTGATTCATTTCAATTTCTGTACAAGAAAGAATTAAGGTACAATTACCAAAAAATGAATTTACGAAATATTTTATATTTTACGTCGAAATGTGTTACAATAAAATATAAAATATTTCGAATACTTTTAATTTTTTTATAACTCTAACTTTTTTAAATACTTTTATATTCAAAATAACTAGAAGACATAAAAGAAATCATGTAGTACATTTTAAAAAATGGTGATAGCTTTTACGTGATTTTGAAAAATTAATTTTACTTATTTCCTCCTTCAAATAATATAATTCACATAATTATTGTCTAAAATATTTTCCGCTACAATTACAATTAAGACATTCAAGGTGACCAATTAAAATTATGTAAAAATTAAAATACTCTGTATATATATTTATATACGTGCACGCTTCTCTTATTGTTAATAATATTAGCATAACTCGCAATAGCATTTCGCAAGAAACTTTTAAACGCTCAAGTTTTGATTGATCAATAGGACATACGTATGCACATATACCTATATATACGACCGTGGAAGAATGCAGCAGCGTAAATATGATTCACTTTCATAAGGTCAGGCCGCCGCGTTGCCGCATGCCGATTTTAATCGCGTTTAATCGCAAAACCAAGTTTCTAATATTAGTCATTTCATATAAAAGAGGCATGATTAGAAGAAAAAAAAAACGCCAGTCAGTACACCACTTAAATAGAAAACCGACGAACCGTGCCGAAACAAACGGACTCGACGGGTTCAGTCACCTTGCGAGAGTTGCGAGTTACCTTCGAGCGTAACACACCCGCCTCCCTCCGTGTACCGTGTACCACGATATAATGACCCCTTGTCACGCGTCTATGTAAGATCGGTCACGTTTTACGATATCTTGTATTTCGACCGCGCGACTCGCGAGAAAGTCGCGGTGACCACGAAATGGCCCGAGCATTATAAAAATTGCAGCCGCGCGAGAGGCAAGAAAGTGTGCGCCCAGCCGTTCGGAGCGAGCGCGTTTTCACGAAATTTCAGATGGTATCAAAACTATAACGATGGCATAACATCGCGTTTCTAGGCATCTTTTTCTTGTGCAATAAAATTGTTTCATTGCCTCTTTAATGTGTATGCTATAAAAATGTATTACTCTTTAATATAATGTATAAGACACCGCGCTGTGCAACCGCAAGAAGTTTTATCATGGTTTTTGTTGGCGAAGAAACTAGAATCGATTTCTACTATGATCAGAAATTATCTGTTGCATGTATCTCACAAGTTGATGGCATACAACGTGTTGGATACGCAAATAATTATGACGTCGTACTTTCGAATGAGTCACAGCGTGAGGTGTGAGTGAAGGGATATAAACGCGTATAAACGTATACGCGAGTTTAGTCGAGTTTCAAGTTTTATTCCATTCAGTTGTTCCAATCGAATGCACGTTATTTGTGGTGAAATTCTAGCAAGACTTTTTTAGCACGGTTAAGCATGACGATACACGAGCATTACTTTGTGACTGTGCGCATTTCATCTTAGTTTTCGCTGTAACCAATTATTTTGGATTACAAGCAAAAAAAAAGCCGTAAAACTCACCGTAAAAATCAATCAAAATTTAATTTGAAATCTTATTTTCTATCGTAAAACATATTAATAGGTATACAACCTGTATAATTAATTTTTTAATAAACGCTTGTGAAATACTCTGTAATTTTTTCAAAGTTCTTCGTGCAGGGAGAGAGATATAAAAATTTTTACTTAAATACCCAATTTTAATTTAAATCTCTGTAAAAGCAATGTGAAAAAATAATTTAATTATTATTTTTATGAATTCTAGACGATGAAGATTCGATGTTAAACAACTGGTAAACATATCATTTATAGAAAATTAAATTTATATTTATTACGAATCTTATTATGTACAAAAAAATCTGGTGTTCTAGACAAGCTTCTGTCGAGTAAAAAAATAAGGAATGACCGTCTTCTTTCGTTACAGTTCTCTGCACTTGTCTTCACGTGACACCGATTTCAGGGTTTTGAGACCTCGAGCGGAACGAAAAGCGGAGACACAGAATTCTCCGTTTTTCTCTTTGTTATGCACGTACATATACTACAAAAATTACTTCGCACTGAAATTTTCTTTTAAAAGTAATTATTTATCTTAATTTTTGCAAGTTACTACTATTTATTAATTTGTGTAGATGCGTTTATCGTGTATTTTACTTAAATAATATAAATCACCAATCTATATTATAGATTATATAAATTGTATATATTATATATACACACATATACAATCTATATTTAAATCTATTTTCTGCAATTAACAAAAAAAATTAATAAAAAATATTTTGCATTTATTAACAAATTGTAGTTATTTTTAAATAATTTCTACCCAAGCATATTGCACATTTTATACACACGTAATAAAATTCATTGTTTTAAACAACATATACTTATACAATAATACTAATAATACTAAAGTATCGATGATACATTAGTAATAATATCAACTAAATAAATATTACCAGTGTATTAAATATAATACGTTTTTCTCAGTATCATTACACGTATGTAGCTGCGATTGCAACGGTCAAGCTTTTGTTTCGCACGAAGGCTTAACGATCTAAATCGTGATCGCGCGCGCGACGCCTTCTGCTCCCGTGCAGGAAGTAATTATGCCTTGTACCGGCGCATCGAAGATTTGTCTTCGAGCGAGGAAGTTCGGGTATCGTATAGCGGAAGCTTCTCTCTTCACGTGAGAACGGCCCGTTTCTCGCGGTCTCATTAACATACAATTATCGAGAGAGAATACTACAACAATTAAATCGGCAAACACTATCTTGAAAACAATAATACGGCAATATTTAATTATATTTTACGTAATAAAACAATTAATCACAACTTAACAATGTAGAGATAAAAAATTACGATAATCTCGTGCAATAATTAAATTCTAAATTGCTCCTCAGCTCCTGTGTTCAATTATTCATTAACATTCTCTTGCGTGAAATATCATTCAGACTTGTAATCAGAGGTACTTTCTTTCTCTGGATCTCAAGAAGAGAATTAAAAGTGTACATTTTATTAGGTTTAATTTCTTTTTCGTAATTTTTTATTCAACTAATTTTACCAGTCGATTATTATTGATCAGAATTCGTTAATTGTATACGTCGATTTAAGTTTATCCGTGGGCGTTTCCTCGTCGGCGGAGATAATCCAAGGCTAATTGTAAGCACAATTTAAGATTCGAGAATGAACGTGCGTGCGGTGAACTTACAGATAACATGTGCTGATAGAGAGTATTGCCCAGGCCCATACGCTGTCGCGACTCGTGCACGTAGAAATCCAGGATGCATCTCGCCTGCAGCTGATAATGCTCTCCCATTTCGTCGAATAGAAACAAATTCTTCGATCCCGTTTTCAGTAATCCCACTACGCTACCGAGTCCGCTGCAAAGTCAAGCGTAATATGTGCTATATTATGCGAATGAATCACAGTCTCCCGCGAGACGACTTCGGAGGACATTATATATACATATGTTACGTCGTCACAGTATCGTAATAATCGACAAGTGATGCGTAATACTATCTATGTATGGTCTGACGTGTCTCACAGCGTTTCCATCGGAGGAACAATTGTTCTTTATTTATGAGCGTTTGAAAAACACAGGGGTTTTTTAACATTTAGTTTCGGAGCGGAAAATAGAGCGCAGATTCTATCGTTAAGTGCAAGTTGACTTTGATATCAAACAATTTCAATTTAGAGCTTGATCAGAATGTAATGTTACAATCTTAAAAACTGTAATGGAAATATTTGTTTTTATTATTTTTTTATATTATAATTTTGAATATTAATCGCCAGAAATTGTTTTAAAACCTATTAGAAACTTTAAAAACTGATTGGGAGTTAAAGATCAATCAAGATTATATATCAAAATTTTGAACACGGTGTTGTCTGTATAACACAGGCGATAGCATAGATCTCAAATAATCATTCAAATAACAGATATCATATCTCAAGTGAATCTATCTAAATGAAGAGAAAAGCTTACTTGTTCGCCTGATTATCTACAAGCAAATAAATCGTATGATCTGTGTCCCGCAGTTTAAGGGCGCTAGTGATGGGCTTGTTCAGTCCTTGAGCCCTCGCCGATGCCTCGCCCATATCGTCCAATATTCTGCTCAGCAGTCTTTGACATTCGCTGAAAAAAAAAAGAGATATTTATTAGATATCTGCATTTATATTACCTTTGCGAGGCAACCAAATAAATCAGACACGGTTAAGTACAAAGTAATTCGTTATAATTATCAGATTTAGCTTATTTCTAAAGCTTATCCTAAATATATAAATTACCAAAAAGGTAACAAAAGGATGGATTGAGTGGATTGAGACAATTTTATTTCTGATTAAAATAATTTAAATGTAAAATATCAAAGATTGTTGAAAACACCTCTTAAAATACACGCAAGAGAAAAATAATATCTTAATCGAGCATCGCTGTTTTTTAAACACTACAACTGCATATATTACATACTTAGCGATTTATCGTTGAAATAGTACGAAACTGCAGTCACGTTCTACTTTTCTTGCTTCATCTTCACATTTTATACAAGCATTATTCTCGTAGCTCTATGCTAATTAATTTTCATCTAATGTTCCTGTGCCAAGTATTTAGGACAAAACGTTTTCAAAAACAAGCGAAAAGTAGTATGAATAAAGAGAAAGGGAGTATAGAAAAAAGTAGAAAGTACATCTATGAGGAGAAAGTATCTAGATAAATTTTTATGTCAAAATTAATTCTTTTTACACTGGCTGGAGATAATCAAAAACTTTACTTTTACATACCGACTGGTATAATTTTTAACCATTAATATTAATAATGCATAAAACTGACTAAATTGATCTGAATAATAATATAAATTATTTATTGAATAGAAAGATATTGATTTGTAAGAAATAAGATGGAAAAATTTTTTATACATTCTATAATAATCAATATTAAATATTATAAAACAACATATACTGCAATTTGATATCCGATCACTTAGATTATACAAAATTACACGTTAGAAAATTACATTGGATGCGGTTATTTGCGCCGCTCTGATAAAAAAGATTCCTCATGTAATATATATTATTCGGTTACAACGGTGACCTGATTCAAGTTTTGGACACTCGCCAATCGGCTTTTGTGATATAGATCGAGTTAATTTATTCTATCGGTATTATAGCTTCTCTTATGGTCATTATGCTACAGGCGCGGAGCGTGATGGATTGTATGGCGATGACGTGAGTAATCACCAAGTGTGGAAAGCTGCATTGCGAAATCTACAGCTCTTAATACATTTCGCGGAAGTATCTTACGTAAGAGCGCTGCCTAATTTTGAAAACTATTATTTAACTTTATAGCCCATTTTTTAGCTTTTAACAACTTTTTACGAAAGAATATCAAGACACTTTCTTTTCGTTGTTGTAAGTTATATGATATATATTTATTTAACTATATTAATTATTATACTATTTAATTATATTATTTTCTATTTATCAAATACAGTACAAAAAAATGTTCCCTAAAAAATATATAGATGCAGTATTCTAGTTATTTTATCTTTACTTAATTTTAATGCCGACTGATTCATCCCTTTAAAATGTCATTCAGTAGCGTTACTATGAATACAGTCATATCTGACATTGATGTCGGAAATATTGCACCGCTTTCATAAAAACGAAGGAGCAAGGTGATCAAGAAAATGAGATATCTATCAATCATCTTCACACTTCAAATGAATGCATTGAGATTATGCTCGCGCTTTTTGCTCCAATAGTTTTACCTTGTTATATTTAAAATTATTGATCGAGTAAAGAAATATTTTTAATTGTATTTAATACATATATATTTTATGGAAATTATTAATCATGTATAATAAGAGCAATTTTGTGCAAAAAGTATTAGTAGGACTCTCGAAATATTTCGAAGATAGTTGATTATACTTTAACAAGGTTATAAATTGCAGATAATAACATAGTTGCAATTTATATCACCTAATAACATAATAGGTTTGTATTTTTATTACTGGAACTTTCTTTCGTCCTAAATATTTCAAACATGTACTTTTATTTTAAATATATATACAACGAGTTGTACACTAATTTAATAACAAAAACAGATCTAATATAATATATTATCTATACAAAAATAATATTTTCTAATTGATAATAAGAGATAATAGATGAGTATAAGTAGTTACATATAACATAAAATGCTGCGAGAAAAACAATTTTGTAATTTTTTCTAATCAGAAATAATTAATAATTATGTAAGTGATAATAATTATAAATACTAATTTTAGCTGTAAAACAAACTTATCATTGCGTGATTCTAATTTATGAATTTGTTTTATTTTTAAATCAATGTAACTAATTTTAATGTATTTGCCGGCCCATTTCTTGTATATCGTAATTTTATACGTCATCATTTACGTTACAGTTAGTATTTTAGAAGTAAGTTTCTAGTTCATAAAACATAGAAATATAATTTATATAAAATTATCTGAGTTAATCTTACAGTTAGGTGCACCATGTATTTTATATCTTAATCACGCAATTAATAAAATCGCGCAGCCTCAAGATTATTTCCGGTACAAATGTGCAAATAAAAAGGAGAATCTGCTAAGGATGGTACTCTCCGCGTCTAATATCGAGATGATGACCCATTTAACCCATTTTGCAGCGCGCAAATGGCACTGTAATCATTGCATCAACCGCTCCTCCTGTCAAGGAGGACAGACAGCCGGAGACTGGGTTTTCCGTATAATAACCACATAACAAGGGGCAAATCTCTCACGGTGTGAGAAACCACTTCTCTGCCATTTCGTCATAGACTTCCGCGAGCGTCGCGAGTCACTGCCCAAGAATTCGATGGAGGTTGTTGCAAGTGAACCGAGTTCCTTGAACCGAGAATCTACGGTATATAAAAGCCCGTCTGTGTTCGACTTTACTGTTCGAAAATATTCATTTACTTCGCAATCCGCCAAGTTTCTTTCACGAGCCCATCTCACCGTTTGCTAGCTTTATTCGAACAGATATCGCATTAATTGCGTCGTTCAATGATAATATGGTAAATGATGCGAGAAATGTGTATTGTAGATACAAGTAGAATGATATAGTGTCAAAAATGTCAAATGACCACTATACAGCTCTGAAGAAGTAATTTATTACAGAAGTGAAAGTCACAGCAATACGAGTATCGTATCTTTGTGCCAGATGAATTGAACAAATGGAGTGAGGAATCTTATCTATAGACTTTATCGTAGAAAACGCGCTTGCGTAACATCGTAACCTAAATCTTAATTAACGGGATGACATAAAATTCCAGTACTCTCTGCGGCTTCTAAGTATTCCGCACTGACTCTCAATCAGTTAGGAAAACATTTCGCACTTTGCAGTCGTCAGGCAGGCATTTGAACACGCCTGCAGCATTCAGCAATCAAATATAATGGCAATACCGGTCTATATTTCTCGTTAACGTTCAAACTTAACTAAAGAAATATATATAATAAAGTTTTATAATCCATTTATATTTTTGAATCTTAACGCGACGAAACATCTTGATTTCTTTCAATTTTAAAAATAAAATTAAAATTTTAAAATTAAAATTTAAAATTAAAATTAAAATTTAAATGTTTGCTATCAATTCTGTTTACATTCTCGATTTTTTAAATTTGGATCTCATTAATTATACATAATCAAACTGATTATATTTGACGAGAATAAATGGATCTGGAATTTATAACATCAATCATCCCATATAAATTATCAAATATTTTATAAATCAACGAAGATCTTAACGTGACATACAATGAAATTTTACATTACTCGATCAAGAGACATGTAATGACTTGGTGTCGAATGTTTAAAATATATATTAAGTCCATAAATCGGTAACTGATGCATCGTACACAAAATAAAAAGATGTGACTCATTACACATACAATCGAGCAAGGATATTCATTATGAGCGAATGTATAATATTTGTACCGATTTTGTCTCTAAAATTTACTGGGCAGCAAAAGAAGATTTATTTACATATTTGCATTTCACTACGTGATATATTAAAATATAAATAACGCATAATAAGATATATTTTTTTTTATAACAGTTGTAAATCTCGCTACAAAAAATTTCAAGTTAAATAATAATAAATTAATTAACCGCTGCCACATTATTTATGCGAATTACTCAATAGGGATGATGTCATAGAAACGGATAAATCATTAAAAAAGAAAAAAAATGACCAATAACAATGAAACAACATAAATCGTGAGAAAAATATAATGATGATAAGACATCTCAGAAACAATGAGATAACATATATCAGAATTACGTTAGCAAGAAAATGTTGTTTTCCAGAAATTTATAGGCCATTTAAATTTAAATTACACTAAACGGCCGATATTCCATCTCATTAATACATAGCGAAAGTTTTGTGCCTGTATATGACCATTATATGTACGATCACCGAGGTAACCTTCGTACTACACAATGCTTTCATGTATATTGTCGCATTCTTTTCACTTTATGTGTTTCCTCCTTCTTTTCTACCAAACATACACGCGATCTTAAGTTAGTAAAAAAACGTCAGAATGTGACCTAGCAAAAGGAATTTGGCAAATGATTTATTTAAATAAAAAGCTGGTTTTTCAGCTTATTTCAATTATGATTTTATTCGATAATTGGAAAAACGTTATTTCGTTGATACTAAAGCTGAGATAATAATAATTGTCTTTTGAAATTGGCACCGAAAAAATAAAGATCTCTGTTACTTTCACGATCCAAACGGTCGATCAAGCGTACAACAAATGCCGGAATCTCATATATTACGGAGTACCGCGTAAAATTGTAATATGAATTATCGTTATGCAATGAAAAATTGTTTCTAAAAGAATTTATGTCATATGCATATTTTATGTATACATATATATATGAATAGGTGTACACACGCGCGCGTGCGCACGCGTGCACGTACACCTGTATAATATATAATACATTATATATGTGTATGTATATTTTACATCGGTATCCATTTGTACTTAATCATAAATTTACGTATACAAATAAATTTTATATCCATTTATACATCAATATACATACGCTTCACGTATCTCTACATTTATGACATAACAATTATTTAACAAATATAACCGATAAAATCACTCTCGGCGAAATCGCCCAGAACAGGCGCGAGTTTCGATGATGTATAAATGGACATTGCGTAGGTCCGATTAATAGTTCGAGGGAGCTATTTTAGGACCTCGGCCTCCGCGAGAGCATACTCACTTCAACTCCCGCCGATCGCCTTTGAAGTCTTCCGGCACCAGGTTGTGCGTGACCTTGTTGATCTTCCTGGGCAAGAGTTTATTTACGTTGAACTTGAACTCCATCTCGACGAGATGCGATAGGAAAGGGGGGGGGGAGGAGGAGATCGCGCCGCTGTCACCGTTGTCTTCGTGCCTTCCGCTTCCTCGTTCCCGTCGTTATCTCGCGCACCTCTTTCACGGTCCGCGTCCTATCCCGGTGGGCGCGATCGCGCGACCGTTTTCGCGACCCTGCGTCTCCAATCCAGGGCGACCGGCGGGGCTCGCCTTGAATATGGCCGTTGTTCGCGCACCCTTTCGCGGCAACTTCACTTCGCGTTGTTGATTGTCACGTGAACATCGATCGGTCCTTCTCTCTCTCTCTCTCTCTCTCTCTCTCTCTCTCTCTCTCTCTCTCTCTCTCTCTCTCTCTCTCTCTCTCTCTCTCTCTCTCTCTCTCTCTCTCTCTCTCTCTCTCTCTCTC